AAGCAAAAAAAAAAATGGTCAGGTGGTACGTAAAAATTTTCAAATTGTGTAAGTGGTACGCGACTATAAAAAGGTTGAGAACCGCTGCCTTAAGGTAGTACGTATAACATATATAGCACTTAATGTCATAATGGTAATATAGTTGTACAACTAAACAGCTAAACAGCTTCATATTATGTATGTCATAATTATTACAAAATAGATAAACATTATTGCTATTAATATTTATCGGCCCGGTAGACGGTAATTATCGTGCATGCAACGTTAAAAAAATATCGGAGCACGATACGATATTTTTTACCGTACCGGCGATTTATCGCAGCAATGTGCGCATCTACATTTAATTACATTCGTTTAGTTTTAAACTTTACCGCACAAAGATTATCGGCGCGCCTACCGTTCACCGATCCGATAATATCGTACCAATGTGGTTTTCCTCATATAAAACTATGAGCTCAATTTTATCGCTACCGTTACCGTATCGTTACCGTACCGTCTACCGCAGCAATGTGTGAGGAACCTTAATTCGGACGTCGGACTGGGCGTCAACCTTGGAGGTAGGTCTCGTGAATCGGAGTTCGAGCAAATTTTCTACGGAGGTAATATTTTTGTTTATTTAGTTAAATTTGTTTGTCACTCTTGCATATTATATGCGTGTAAATATGTGCGTAGCGAACCCTACCTATTTTATTCCATTCTCAGTGTATCTCAGTGTTCTGCAAAATAAAATCTGAACAAATATAATTCGATACCTATCATAAAATATAGTTCGTGTTCGTGATTATGATCATTGATAAGAAAAACAAATGACAACCAAACGTCGCCATTAGGTCATAATAATATTGTCACATATTAATTAATAATTTTATTATTAATATTCGGTCCGTGGACATTAGACATCATAACGAAGTCGTAACTTATAACTGACTTACAATGTCTATCGGTCTATGATTATTCTGTCGCTCAGTCTTTCCCAAGTGGGCGTTGTCTCCTACTTTGTTATGCGACACTCGAGAGATAAGAAATAAATTGCTCTTGACGTGCAGCAGTAGCAGCTGCCACTACAATAGATACGCATAATACTAACTGAAGTTCATCACAAAACATAACAGGTAAGTACATCCTTAATATAATTAATGTTTGTATTTATATTGAATCAAGTATTTTATCGTAATATTTTAAGGTAGGTAGGTAGGTAATCGCGTATGCAACTTTCCACAAAACTGTACACAATAATACGTATTCATCTACCAAAAACGGTGTTTTCTAGCTAGGTACTGATCAATTACAGTTTGTTAAACTAGAAATTACTAATCTCTATTGCTGATGGTCATAATTTAAGTGTTTTTAAATGTATACAATAAATGATCCTGTGCACTTTGTTTCCCGTTAAATGTACCAACTATGTGACTCAAACTTTGTTCAATTCGTTATTTAATATCTGGTGTTCCAAATGTATTTCAACTCTTCTGTTGCCTGAGATAAAAATTCTGATTCGCAGCAGTGTATTATCAGGTAGGCAATCTACCTGCGGTAGATCGGGGGGACCCCGTGCTGTTTGTACGTAACTTTATAATTTAATTCTAAAGTATCAAAGTTATACAAAGTATGTCACTGAACTCCTCCTAAACGGCTGGACTAATTGTGAATGCCGAGTCTGTCGACCAATATTTCCTCCTCATCCACGAAAACGTGGCATTGTTTTATGTACATAACTTATATGTGAGTATAATACTCTCAATATTTACGTAATTGCGATACATATAATATCAAAACACAGCGTACAAAAAAATTAATTGCATTGAATGAATACACTGATTTCACGGCAACCAAAAATTATTATTGTAATAGCTTTAAAACCCATGGCGACCAATTACAAACGGAAATTTCCACCTTAAATATCTAAATCCCCTTTTGACCACATACCATGGTTGGACCTAGGGGAATTATTTGTAGCCTATGTGTTATTCTGATGTATAAGCTATATTATTGTAAAGTTTCATTAAAATCCATTCAGTAGTTTTTACGTGAAAGAGTAACAAACATAGTTACAAACTTTTGCGTTTATAATATTAGTAGGATTATTGTCATATACTTATATCTATATACCATGTTGTTGTTTTTACTTAAAGAAGAAGTAAGTTATCGTTGTCTTGGTGGATATTTACCAGTTATCAAATAATGTAGGTATCAATTATTTATAATTTTCTATGAAAATTATAAATAAAATATGTTAATGTTATTTCTCGTAACAACTCAAGTCGCAGGTACTATAAAATATAATGAAAATATAACGTTTATAAGAATATATCATGTTTTTTCGGTAATTAACAATTTTATGGTAGGCTGTTAGTATTATACAGTGCACTGTACTAAACCAACAAAGTAGCTGTAGGTAGCTTACTAAACTAGCACAATTATAAGAAATGTAAACATTTATATTATACTAAATACCATGGTTTAAATATACAAGGTTATGTAAAAATAAAATGGCAGCATAAGGGTACGGTCCATACCATGCATATTATAATATCATAGTATAGCCAGTATACGTCGTCCCCTTACGCTGCTATTGTAATTTCTTAAAGTGATAAAATGATATAGTGGGGGTACTATTGCAATAGCCTTGTATATTTAAGCCATGCTAAATACTATATCTAACCAATATTATGATTGTGATGTTATGATACAAATAAAATTTGAAAAAATTACCAAAATTATTATTTTTTGATGACATTATATAAATACTTTAATAATACCTAATCATATTAATTAATAATACTTAATCATTAATAAATATGAATATATCTATCATAGTGTCTGTAGACATTGACCAATTGTAAATTAACTTAAAAACAATTTTAAAAGAGTTTTAAAATATTATTAATGTTATTACTATAAAGAATGTTATTATAGTTATAACAGTAATTAGTAATTACTAACTATCTTGGTATTTTATCATTTGTGGTATTACGTCTGTGCTAATGTCATTATTATTCTAGAATCTAGAATAATGTTTTTTATGCAATCGCATATTTTCGTTTCCACATTTTTGGAAATTTTGTTAGTTATCTTTACAAATGCTAATAGTAATAGTTAATGTCAATTTTTTTTTGTTTTGTTTGTTACTACATATTTAATGGTTATTGCATATTTCTGTATATTTTGACAAAATTCAAAAAGTATTACATAGTATTACCTATTGAAGCAAAAATTAAAAAACTTAAAATAAAATGTTATATTTTGTCAAGCATGAAATATAATAATACATTTTGTAGGCACTAAGTAATTATTAATTTTAATAATATTAAATTATAAATTAAACATGTTTTTGTTTATCAAGTAAATAGGTACCAATAATAACAATTTCACTAATTAGATTTAAATTATTTTTGAGTCATAAATTTATAAACTGCAACATAACATAACAACACAGGTATACCCCAGGTAAATAGCCAAATCACCCCTGATATTGATATGTATAAGTTACGGTGAATGATGTAAACGTGGTAAATTAAGTAATTTACCTAAAAATTGGTAAATGTTGTAAATGTAAACATTCCCCGGTTATTGACGTTAATCCCCAGATTAATTGGAGAATGATGTTCAATACATTTATGGGAAGAATTGTATCAAATTTTAAAAAATAATTATGACTTAAAAAATTGTGTTGACTTGAAAAAAATGATGGTTAAAAAATTTAGTGAAACTTTTTAACGCATTCCGCTCTAATAATTTTTCCTTGTTCAAAATGATCAATACATTTATAGTTTTATATAACTGACATTATATGTGATTAACTAGATATCACAATTCGTTATCGTAATGGGACGCAATACGACCATTTAACCGACGGTAAGGGGTAACTACCCGGAGCTGATACGGTATCATTCCATTTGTGTATCTGTTTGTGATAAGTGTATAGGTATTAGGAACGCGACAAACCTTTGTTAGATAAAAATATCACGACGGAAGTAGATATTAAAGCAAAAATCAAACTAGCCATAACGCCGATTAGCCAAGTAATAATATGAAATAGTCTATTAGTTTATTAGTTTAATATTTACTCATATATTCTAGCGAGTACTTGTATATGCTACAAGTGTGAGTTAGCTTTATAGTTTTATTTAAAAGTAATATTAAAGTATGAAGAATAAATTTAATGCAGCAATCGAAAAAAATATCAACAATAAAAAGAGAGGTGACAATATAATATTTTATTTTAGTTATGAAGTCACCCACAAACAATAAATCATTATTAAATAGTTTTTATATTAAAACAATCAGTGTATTATTTGAGATTTATCATCATTTACCACAAGTTTTGGTAAATGATGTCAATAACCGGTGAAAGATGTACATTTGAGTTTAAAATATGTGTTTTCACAACATTTAGCTCAACATTTTGACATTTACCAATGTTCGTCTTTCACCGTAACATATATATTATATGGGAATAATTTTATTAGTCTTCACTCCTTAAATTTAGTAGCTATTCACAAAAATAATATAAATAATCTATAATTTTTATTATATTTTTAAGGTATTATTTCCATAAAAGAGATGGCTTCCATAAAAAATGTTTTACTATGGAGAAATGGTCAAAAGCAAGTTCTAAAATTCAACGGATGCAAACCTAAAATATATACAAACAGCTGTCATACTCACAGTTTTTTTGAAGTACTACAATGCTTACGAAAGTATGACATTTTGAGTATATCATTTTAGTTTCTATAAAAATAAACAATAATAATAATGTATTTTATGTTTTTAGAGAAGAAGTTTTATGTGATATTAGGTTAGAAACAGATGACGGTGTAATAGTTTGTGCACATAAAGTTGTTTTAGTTTCAGCTTGTCCATATTTCCGTGCCATGTTCACCAGTTTTGCCGAAGGGTCGAAATATGTTGTAAATATAAGAGAGTTAGATTCTAACATTCTACAACTCTTGATTGATTATATTTATACTGGCAAAATAATGGTGACCGAACTTAACGTAATGGTAGGTATATAATATAATTATTTAATTTTTAATAGCCATAGGCTATGTATCAAATAAAAGGATGTAGACATGTAGTGATGAACTGCTACACAATATGGATTTTTATGTGGTGTTTTCGGTATACCTACCATATTTAATACAAATTAAAAGAAAAAAAGAGATGGGCAAGTGGGCATTGGTCTGCTTTACATATGAGGAGTCTTGTGGGTCATCATAATTTATGTGTTCAATTTGAATTCAATGATACAATATTGAAGATAGCATATTGTTAAACTATTCTTAAGTTTAATTTATGTTATAATATTTACCCAAATAGATATTTCAGATTGGCGTTTATTCCAAAATAAATAAATATATATTTATTATAATCATTGTATATAGAAAACGATTTCGAGCTAAGACGGTCTGTCAGTCTATATAATTATAACTATATTTTGAAATTATAAAAAATAACAAGAATCGTTAGTCTCTGTTTAAAATATATCTAATTATGGTTAAGTTTGAGTTTAAATTATCTAATGAAAAGACTGTTTATATAATTTTTAATCTGAGAGATCTTGTTTTAAATTTTCAATCCTTAATCTATACTTTTTAAATGCAATTGTGACTCTGTTTTTTTTTTTAAGAAATTATTGATTTACAATTTAAAGAATAATGTTAATGAATTTCTTACTGAACTGTTCATTTTATTCTTCAAGTCTAAAAATTAATCACTCTGAAATATGAAAATGTCAATAAATAAGTTATTTTAGAGTTTAATAAAAATGATCTAAATTAATTATTATTGTTTATTTGTTTAGGATTTGTTACCAGCTTCTATATTGCTTCAGTTGGATTATGTAAAAGACGTATGTATTGAGTTTTTAAAAAGACAACTGAATCTTTCAAATTGTCTTGGTATCAAAGAATTTTCTGACTTTTATAACTGTACGGAGTTGTTTTCGAGTGCTGAAGAATACATAAAAACACATTTTTTGTAAGTTTTATTAAATTTTACACTATCAGCGAATTGTATACATTATGATCACTCATGCTTTTCAGAAAATTTATGGAAACAGATGAGTTTCTATCTTTGTCTTCTGAAGAAGTGATTAATCTAATCTCTTGTAATGACATTAATGTTCCATTTGAAGAAAAAGTATGTCTACTAAAATTAATAATTGTATTCAATTATATAACATGGGAAGTCTATTTATCTGTTTGTAAGGAAAATAATAGACTCATATGATTCACAAATACTAACTACAGATGGGTGTTTGTATGGGTAGATAATTTACCTAAATGATTTTGTAAATTTTTGCATTATGAAAAAGTTTTTGGCAGTTTATTAAATTAAGTTTTTGATTCTACAGCTTGATTGCTGATTGGTAAGCTATAGTATGGTATAAAAGGCAGTTATACTAATGCCAATATAAAAAAAACCTTATTTTAATCTTACGCTACAATTACAAAGATTGCAGTCACTCTTTATGTGGTGATCCACAATTCACACATACTAATTTAATAGTTTACTTTTTTTAAACTGAGTTAAGTTAATCCTTATAAACCATAATAACTTTTAACTTATCGAGTCAAATTTATTATTTCTTAACTGTTATCTTTAACTTATCATCTTATGTTCTCTAACTTAAAAGGACTCTATACAGCCATTTGTTGCCTCAGTCTTACAAGTGCGTAACATAGCAAATTTTACACAGAATATCATGTTTAGCCCCATTAGTTTAAAAATTAGAGTGAAATTACCTATTTTAGAATTTAAAAGTAAGATTTTTGTCTAGGTTTGCAGGTCTCAACCGTTTTATGTAAGCGTACCACCTATTCAGTTTGAAAATTTTCATGTAATTACCACTTGACTGAATAACAATTTTTTGTTGCATACTAAAAATGAATACGTTATTTTAATTGTATCAAAATTAATTTTATTAGGAATTACAAAATTATCATAATATAAACATTTAATGCATAAAAAGAATATGAAATATGTATATTTGTTATTTATATTATTAATATAAAATAAACCAAATAATATTTAACGTGTTAATGATCCATTCCATTTTTTTTATAAAGTAAAATTTTCTAAGCTTTCCTCGTACCACAGGTTGAGAAACACTGGTATAGAGAATCTCATAGAGTTTTTATTATATTTTAATTTTAAATGAGTATTTTAAGATGTACAAATATTTTACAATTTTAAAATACTCCTAATTTGCTATAAAATTAAAATATAATAAAAAGCCTATGATTATACGTAACATTTTATAAGAAGTTCATTCACTCTATTTTGTAAACGTGATTTGTTATATTTATTATATACGTATATTAAAATTTGGTATATTTATACCATATAAGTGCGTACTTTTAAGACGGAGACAAAAAATGTCTTAAAGAGTCTTCTTAAGTTAGAAATTAACAGATAAAAAGTGATAAATTTGACTCTTCAAGTTAAAAGTTATTATAAAAATAAATGATAATTTGCCTCTATAAGTTAAATGTTACTATGGAAAAAAATATTAACCTAAGTCATTTAAAAAAAAGTTAATCCACATTTGTAAATTAGTATGTGTATCACATAAATAGTGACTGCACTCTTTCTATATTAAAGTAAAATTTTGTTGAACTTTTATCGTAATGTACAGTGTATATAATATATCTATTTTACTGCACATGATTATTAGATATTTAAACTATACACATCTCAATTGATAATGTAAATATTATTAATTTTTTATAGTTATTAAATGTCATATAATATACTGTATGTAGATCTGTTATCATAAATGTTATAAATGATTGTTAAATAAAAAAAAATAAACCTTACTTTCATGATAATTTTTGAATACCTTGAACTTAAGAAGATGTCAGCGCACTCTTTGTTTTCTCTCGCTGGCCCACACAGAACATAGACAAAAAGCATTTACGCAGAATCGTTTAATCTATGTTTTTAAGTAAAATCACCCATAACAAAAAAAAGATAAAGAATAATATTTTTGAGGGAATGACATATCGATTTGTCTAAATTATTGTCTCAAAAACAATTTAAATTTACAACATTTTTTGTTTATTTTGAAAGTCGAATACAAAGTCAAATATCAATAAAATATGAAATCAATATATCATTTACATTATATTTTTCTCTATCATTTTTGTAATGGGTGATTTTACTCAAAGATTTTTTCAAAACATAGAAAAAATTATTCTGCGTTAATACTTATTGTCTATGTTGCACGTGGGCTAGAGAGCTATAACAAATAGTGCGCTGGCATCCTCTTAAAACCAATAGAATATTATTTTTAAGTTCAATCGTTGAAATCATATAAATTTTTAATTTTGAGGGATACCCTGAAATATTTTTTTGTTCTCATCTTATCAAATAAGTAACTATTTACGTCGAGGGGAAAAAATTTAGTTTCTAATGTAAATTGTTTTAGTTATATATTAATTTCATCATATTTATTTGTTGTAGATATTTGAATGTGTTATAACCTGGGTAAAACATGAATTAGATTGTAGGTATGACAATTTGCCTAAATTAATGGAACATGTTCGTTTGTCGTTAGCACCCCAAGAGTATATATCACTAAAAGTTGACGAGGAACCTCTAATCAAAAATAATCCTAAATGTATGTTTTTTTTTTCACCATTATGCTATTACTGTAATTTATAATATTATATAATAATTATAAATTTTTTAGGTAAAGATTTTGTCAATGAAGCTTTAAATTTCCATATCGTAAAGAAACATCGGCACATTCCTATGCCACAAACAATTCGTAATTCACCTAGACAGACTGGACTTAAAGTATTATTGAATTCAGATTTCAAATTATCTTTTCAATATCATTCTATTTATTTATTTATTTTTTGCAGTTTCTTCTTGCCATGTGTGATTCATCAGGAATGGGAAATTGTTACACTAGCTGGTATGATCCAGCAACCAAACTATTGCATAAGAAAATAAAAATGAATATGGAGTTTGAATTATGTGCTCTAGTCTTAATAAAGGATCATTTAGTTTTTGCCTTGGGTAATAATTACATTAATTTAATATCCATTGAAATGCTTGATTTATCTTCACAATCACTTCAATGGAAACCAACAGTTGACATGTTAGTTGATCGAAGTTTTTACGGAGTTGGCGTAATAAATGATCGTATTTATGCTGTAAGTATACAAATAGGTTAGGTTCCCTAACTCATTACTAATTTTGTGTTATTTCAATACTAGGTTGGTGGAGACATTATTGGTGATTCTCAGTTAACTAGTGCAGAGGTTTTTGACGTGAGTGTTCAAGAATGGAGAATGTTACCAAATATGTCTACTGGAAGAATGAACCTGGGCGTTGGAGTACTCAATAATCTTTTATATGTGGTAATTTTTTTTTTTTTTTAATTATTAGTCTTTAATACTTACATTTAATTTATTTAAACCCTGTAGGTAGGTGGTTATAAATACCCATTCGCTTTGAAATCTGTTGAATGTTATGATCCCATCCTTAACATATGGATACCAGTCACACAAATGTCTACAAATCGCCGAGGCCCTGGTATAGGAGTCTTAGACGGTGTAATATATGCTATTGGTGGTGATTGTCAGGAATATGATAATTCATTGTATCTTAAAAGTGTTGAAGCCTATTCACCAATTACTAAAGTATGGACTTCAATTGCCAATATGCACCTGTGCCGTTCCGATCCAAGTAACTATAAAAAATAATTTTTTAAATAAATCTTTCTAATGAACTTATTGAAATTAAATTGAATTTTCAATATAGGAGTTGTCACATTTAATGGTTTGTTGTATGTTATGGGAGGATTTAACGGATCTACTCGTTTGGACTCTATTGAAATATACGACCCCAAAACCAACACGTGGACCTTGGATACATTGTCAACGAGTGTTGAGGTAATTTATGGTGCAGTAGTCGTCGATGGATCACCACATTTGAGAACTGATTAGATTACATGGTTTCATTGTTGGTTGTTGTATATAATGTTGACTTTGCTAAGGCGTTTGATTCAGTTAATCATGAGGTTCTTATTTCTATACTTCGTGCTTCTGGTTTTGGCGATCCTATCCTATCTTGGTTTAATTCATTTTTATTAAATAGATCGCAATGGGTTAATATGTTCAATACAAAATCTGACATATTTTTATCTACCTCTGGTGTCCCCCAAGGTGGACATCTATCACCCCTTCTTTTCTCTTTGTTCGTTAACAGTGCTTGTACCTCCCTTAAACACAGCCAACTACTCTGTTTTGCTGATGACATGAAGATTTTCCTTAAGATCTACTCGGTCGATGATTGTCTCAAACTCCAGGATGATCTTAATAGAAACCTGGTCTTACATTAAATGTTAAAAAATGCCGGTCAATGATATTCACCAGAAGTCGCTCTCCTATCACTTACTCCTACGTTCTGAATGGCTCTAGTTTAATTCCCGTTGATTCTAACATTTGTGATCTTGGTTTTACATTTACTTCCTCTCTTTCTCCTCGTGCCCACATCGATAAAATTACTTGCAAAGCTCTCAAGGTTTTGGGTTTCATTAAAAGAATATCTGATGAATTTAAACTCACCAGCTCTCTCAAATCCATCTATTGTGCACTTGTACGCCCAATCGTTAAATATGGCTCTATTGTATGGAGTCCTCAAACTGCTGATGCCTGTTTTCAACTCGAACGTGTTCAGCATAAATTCTTATGCTATATGAAGCATTAATTGAATGTTAACTGCCCCCCTCATGATTATACTCCTCTACTTCGTCTCATGAACTTATCTTCCTTAGCTGACCGTCGCCGCTCGCATGCTCTTGCTTTTCTTAATAAAATCTTATCGGGATCTGTTGACTCCCCTTCACTCCTTGCTCTAATTAACTTTAAAGTTCCTGTTAAGTGCACCCGCAACACGCATACTTTTTTTATTCCACATTGTCCTACAAAATATTTACAAAACGAGCCAATAAACCGTATGATGAAATTAGCCAATGAGGACCCGTCATTTCTTCCATAGTATTATACTATTATCTTTTATTTTGTTTTTATATATAACTCATGTAAGCATGTACCGATGTACCACACTTAAAATTAGTATGTAATTTTTGTCAACATTACACCATACATATCTGTATCATGGGCTCACGCCCATTTATAATTAATAAATAAATAAATAAATAATTAATATTCATATTAATTTATAAATTTTAGTATGTCATGAACATGTATTAAGTATTTCATATATTTTATTTTATTTTGTGAATGTTTGAATAAATACAATTTTAGTTAATTATTATATTGCGTCTCAGTAAACTTCTAACAAAATCATCTACATATTCTCTTTAAATATTCTAGTGAAAATAGAGTACTCTGAAATTTATTTTCAGAGGGGACAATAGTGCAATACTATACAGTAATACAAAAAATTAATGAGTTTGAAAAATTTGGTATAACCCAGTAGATGCTTTAGTATATATAGATTTCCATAATGAAAGGAGAATAATAAGCAAGCACTGTGATCTATATCCATTATTATCAAGCGATCTATTTGCAAGTCCTAAATTATGTTAATGTATTTTATGTTATGTAATAGTTATTAGTACTGTATTAATGTATAATATTTTGGTATAAAAAGTTTAAGTTTCAAAAATTTTTTCATGATTATCCATTTCTTTCTACGTAATGTTAATTCACTCATATTAGTAATGGATTGTGTACAACATAGGGTGTATATTAAGACCTGACAAATTTAATAACTTTTGTTCTAATCAATATTTAATAATTTGTTTTTTATTACATCTTTAATATCTTAATAATTAATACAATACTTATTACTATTTCATAGCAGTATTTAACATAAAATAACATACATTAACAGCATTTGTGACTCTCAAAGACATGGCTAGATAATGATGTATGACTCCTAGAGATGGGAGCTTGGTAAATTTACCCGGTAAATATTTTTTTACCGTTCTTAAAATCGAGTGACCACTTATTTCAAATGTTTTCATGTGAACATTAACACTAGTAACATTTCTATGAGGTTAATGTTATCTGTAGACCGTAGTCGATATAATTAATATAAAATATTACGAGAATTTGGTAAAACCAGTTCAAATTATCACCATTCGTCCATTCCCTGAACGTAGTATACAAAACACAAGTACACTGTACACTATAAATAACTTACCAACCACAGCGACCGTTCCCCCTGCGTAAACGTATACCTAATTATAGTTATATAATAATTTATAGTATGTGATTATTGATTAATGATAACGATAAGTGATAACTGATTGTTTGCTTCATTATTTGTGTTGTTAGTTTATGTTAGTTCTCATTGTTCAAAATATCTTATATTATAATTTCTAATGTACTAAAATAATGAAGCCGAAAGAAATAAAAAAAAATGTGCTACACAGATAATAATAATACCTATATTATTTTTAAAAATACAGATTATCTGACTGCTGTCTGCAGCTGTAGACAGGGCCACATTTAGAATTAAGCCGCTCCAGGCAAACAAAATTTTCCACTCCCCTTCTTTATTTTTTTTTTAAATTTATTTGATTACAAGCTTTGATTTGTTTTTGTAAAAATATTACCTGGTACATGATCAAAACTTGAATGGTAAATTCTTAATCAACTATAGTGATATAAAAACATAAAATTGTTTTAATTTTATTTAACTCTTTGGGTCTATCATTTGTCACTTTTTTTTTATTTCTATTTATTTATTCTTATTTGTTGACCATGTCCTGATAACTGAATATATTAATATATTATGATAACCATGTTGAAGATAAATAATATTTATAAAGGTTACATAAATAAATAAAAACATAACTATACCATAGTACCAAAAAAAAATGCAAAACTAAATTTTTTGTATTAGTAATAATTAAGATAATACATTCTACAAAGGATAAATTATTAATTTTTTTTTTTTACATTTTATTAAAGCAAATTTTTCAATATACTATTGTAATCAACTTTTGAGGTTAAATCTGCTTCTATAATCTGTAGTCATCATTGCTAAACTGTTAAGTCTATTTTCTTTAGAAAATAATCTGAGGTACGATTTTACTCTCTTTAGCACTGAGAATGATCTTTCTGTTGGTCAGTTGCTAATTTGTGTACACAGCAATCTCAAAGAAATATCAATGTAAGGATAAATATTTACCAAATTTTTTGTCTTATAAATGCACACATATCTTGTATGGTCTTTAGTGCGTCAGTGCCAACATTTTTTAAATTCCCTTTGCTTTTGAAAACACTTTTTTAATCTGAACATTCATCGTGCAATAACTTTATTGTCTTCACCAGTGACAAAAACTAAAAATTATCAAAACGGTGGCAGCATAGGGTTGCTGGGCTGCCCCTGAAATTTTTGAAAGATGCCGGTAAACCGTGTTTTAAATCAGAACGGTCAACATTTATTTTTTTTTTAAAACTTGATTTCTGTGTGCGTATCGTTATAATTACCATTTACTTAAAAATATATGTTTAACAAAATTAGGCAGATAATAATATCTTTATTTAACATGTATTGTCAAATTGATTTCCTGAATACGGAAATCGGAAAAACCTACAATAAAGACTTGAGACAGACGACCGAGACGGTACGGTACGCATATACGGATACAAAATTTCCGAAAAAAAAAAACGTTTTCCGAAAAATTGAAATATAATAATAAATAATTTATAATAGTATACAAATATAATATTATCGTATCAGTCATTTCCGCCAATGTTGTTTTGTCATTACTCATTTGTCAATCGTTCGCTGTCTATATATTTTCTACAACTTACAAGTAAAATTTATTATATAACATTTAAAAATACAGGTGATTTATTTTCGGGGAAATACACCATTCCAAATAAATACCAATTTGATATGTAACTACGTTATTTTTAGAATAAATATTAAAATATCGGTATTTATTTATTTAAGAAGGCTGCACTAGCCTGCACTGTAGCATATTTTAAGGAGTACAATTTAGGCAATTCATGTGACATATAAATTAATACAGTGTCTATGTGTGAGTAGTAAATGAACATTAGTGTGCGTAATCCGTTATCGCGTTGATTGCGCGAATTCTGCTAATTCAGCGGGCGTATGAGCGGGTGTCTTTCCAGTTAGCAGTCTTTCTTATCATTCATATAAGAGTATTCATAACAAAATAATATTGTAAATAATAATAATATTATGTTGTTTGAGGTTTGTCTTTGTCTTTCACTGTTTTACTTTTAACTGTTTATTTAAAAATGTATTACTAAATTTTAAAATACACTTTATTAATTATGATAATGGTTAGTGCTTAATTAATGATTATGTAACATATTCAATATACCTTTCTAATAAATTATTTTTTTTTTAACTATTTTTTCCTAGGATTTTTTTCCTTGGACTTTTTTTCTACAAACTTTTTATCATTTACCAAAACTAAAAAAATTTAAAACTGAAAATGTCCGTATACAGATCAAAAAGAGTCAAAATATTTTCAGAAAATGCTAATTTAAACATTCAGTGAAATTTTCATGTATCTACAGTTATTCGTTTTTGAATTACAACAAAATAAGGAAATCGCTAGGTACATGAGAAATCGAGTGAACATCCAATGTTGTAAAAATTTGAATTTCAAACACTCATAAAAATTTAATTTGACTTTCTTATAGACATTTTTTTTTGGATTAAGGTACATAATCTTATAAGGAATCTTGTATTACATTTTCAAATCTTAGATTTAAAAATAAAAATTTTGACGAATTCTTAACTCAAAATAATTTGCTAATTTTCATAATTTTCCATATTTTGTCAATTTTTGAACTTTAAATGCTTATTAAAAACAAAGGATTTTTAATATTTTTCATCTGCTTTTGAAACAACACACTATTAGCCTTATATTAAATTTTCAAGCTTTTTTAACCAACAAATAAAATCGTATTGATATTTTTAGGAAAAAAACTAAAAAAAAATGGAAAATGAAAATGTCCCTAAACAGTTCAAAATAAATCAAAATATTTTGAAAATGTTATCGTGTATAGAAAATGCAAAAAAAAACAATCAGTGAAAACTTCATGTATTAGAGTCACACCAAAAACCAAAATCTATTTTTTGGAAAACCGATTTTGCGTAAAAATTCCCGTTTTTCCTTAATTTTTATGTTGTTTTTCCCGGCGCTTGTGAAAACTAGTGTGACATATTTACTTTTGACCCCCAAAGTACCAACTAGATTCACTTTCCTATCAGAAAAGATACTGTTGAAGAAAGTCCAAGACTTTTACTGTCCTAAAACGTGATGACAGACACAAAAAGGTAGGCAAGTGGGTGTCGCTCTGCTGTACAGTAGGTTAGAAGTGGGTCACTGTATAATGGATAGTATTAAATTACTAAGACGGTATGTCAGTCTAGGTATTATAGGCATATTATATACTTATCAATGGTATTAAAAAAAATTTACCTAAAATAGGTACCTATAATAAATTCCAAATTAATCATATCACAATATTATTTAGGAACTTATAACACGTTATACATCAACAACAAACCCTGATAATATCAGAGAAATATAAAAGTGTATTTTAGAAGTTTCAAGTACCCATTAATAATATTATACAATCACAACAAAATAACTAAAAAAGGTGGGCAAGTGGGTGTCGCTTTGCTGTACAGTAGGTTACAAGTGGGTCACTGTATAATGGATGATATTAAATTTGAATTCAACGATATAATATCATTGTATAAGAAAAACGATTCTGAGAGGAGACGGTATGTCAGCCTAGGTATAATACATATTATATACATATCTATGGTACTAAACCAAAATGTGACCTATAATAGGTAGCTACCTACAATAAATTCCAAATTAATCATATCACAATATCCATTACGTACTAATAACGTGTTGTACGTCATTACTAGGTTTTATATTCTGAGTGATACGATGAATGTATTGATTTTACAATGATGTGTGTTTTTTTTTTTTTTTTTTATTTTTTTTTTTTGTGTCTGTGTACACGATAAGTAGTCGAAATAATGCTTCGATTTTCGACTTCAGTATCTTGTTCGATTGGAAAGTGAATATCGTTGGTGCATTGGGGAGGTCAAATTTTGAAATTCCCAGTACTTTTCAAAAGCGCCAAGAAAAACAAAAGAAAAACTATGGAAAAACGGGAATTTTTACGCAAAATCGATTTTTCCGAAAATTTAATTTGGTTTTTGGTGTAACTTTAAAACAAATGACAGTAGATACATGGAATTTTCACTGGTTGTTTATATTTGCATTTTCTATAGACGATAACATATTCAAAATATTTTGATTTATTTTGAACTGTTTAGGGACATTTTCATTTAAAATTTTTTTTAGTTTTTTTTCTAAAAATATCAATAAAATTTTATTTGTTGGTTGCGAAAGCTTGAAAATTTAATTGAAGGCTCCTGGTATATTGTTTCAAAGGCAGATGAAAAATATTAAAAATCCTTAGTCACAATTTTTTTTTATAAGCATTTAAAGTTCAAAATTTGACAAAATATGGAAAAATCACGAAAATTAGCAAATTATTTTGAGTTAAGAATTCGTAAAAATTTTTCTTTTTAAATCTAAGATTTGATATTCACTCGATTTTTCATGTAGCGATTTCCTTTTCTTGTTGTAATTCAAAAACGAATTACTGTAGATACATGAAAATTTCACTGAATGTTTTTATTAGCATTTCCTATACACCATACAATTTTAAAAATACATAATCACAATTTTTTTTTATAATCATTTAAAGATCGAATTTGACAAAATTTATCAAAATCTCGAAAATTATCAATCATCGTAATTAATAAATTATTAAATGTTCAGTTTTTATAGCTAAGGATTGAAAATTAAAAAAAAGATTCGCATAAATAGTTCATACTGTAATCAAAAAATCTAAAAAATATATGAACACAGTTATTTTTTACAGACATTTTAAATTCAAATTTGGACGAAATTACATAATAAAAAACCTAGAATAACTATTTTAGCTATTTTGTTGTGATTGTATAATATTTTTCGTGTGTACTTGAAACTTCTAAAGTATACTACTATATATCTATGATAGTATCAGGGTTTGTTGTTGGTGTATAACTCGTTATAAGTACCTAATGGATATTGTGATATGATTAATTTGGAATTTATTATAGGTCAATTTTTTTTTAATACCATAGATATGTATACCGTGTGTCCCAAAAATCAGGGGCCACTTTACTACTCATTACCATGTAAATATTTTTCAATTCTGTTTGCGGGACATTAAACTAGACTAATTGATCGTAAATTTCTTTGACTCACAATGTTTTTAACTCATGTATCTTGCGCATGCGCAATAAAACTTATATTTTTTTTAATGGCAACCCGTAATTTTAATATCATATTCGGGTTCATCGATTTTTTTCAAGCCATTTTGATGTATCAACTTATGTCCTAAACCCAAAATTGACTAAACTAGAGTTAAGTAGAATTTAAATAATTTAAAAATTCAATTTAATTAATTTTTTTTTCTAACTGTACGTACTTATTTATTTCTTCTAAACACCATGAAACAAACAATCAAAATTATTATTATTAAACTAATTACCTAATTATTTACTATTTATGAATTATTATCTTATTTTATTATTACGCATTATAAAATAACATAGTTTAAACATGTATTTTCAAGAAACAACATTTCTATTTTATTTTTTTACCATTACTATACATTTTTATTTACAATTAAATTTACAGAAATTACAGACATAAACTATTCAATAAACTAAGAAAAAAATAAGTACGTACAGTTATAATGGTAAAAAAATAAAATAGAAATGTTGTTTCTTGAAAATACATGTTTAAACTATGTTATTTTATAATGCGTAATAATAAAATAAGATAATAATTCATAAATAGTAAATAATTAGGTAATTAGTTTAATAATAATAATTTTGATTGTTTGTTTCATGGTGTTTAGAAGAAAAAAATAAGTACGTACAGTTAGAAAAAAAAATTAATTAAATTGAATTTTTAAATTATTTAAATTCTACTTAACTCTAGTTTAGTCAATTTTGGGTTTAGGACATAAGTTGATACATCAAAATGGCTTGAAAAAAATCGATGAACCCGAATATGATATTAAAATTACGGGTTGCCATTTAAAA